GAGAGAGAGAGAGAGAGAGAGAGAGAGAGAGAGAGAGAGAGAGAGAGAGAGAGAGAGAGATTTGATGGATCTGATGATATTGATGGATTGAGAAGTATACATTGAAATGGTTCAAGTTGCACTTTTTTTTTCTTCTTTAAATCTATTTTATACAAACTTTCTTTTAGGATTATTTTACATTTTGATATGCACAATTATACAACAGATGATATGATCAGTAGGAACTGTATGCTGTATTTTGAAACATTACATCAGATCATCTAGCAATTTCTTCTGGTAAAGGCTACATGTACAGTGTACATGTAGCAGTGGTCAAGTAACAGTGACTCTCAACTAGTCTTTGCGAAAATCTTTACAATGCTGTACAATACATATCAAATCAACTTACGGGCATGTGAATCCAGCAAAACACGCAATTTCAGAGAATTCAAGCTATCTAATGATACCTACCAGTTACAGTTACATGGTTCTCAGAAAATTACAAGTTATCTATAAATATAACACCATTCACTACTGCTATAAAAACACAGTCACTTTCCCAGAATGCTATCTAATCATTTATACCAAGCTGTTTCTAATTATCCCCATGTATCTTAGTTGGAAAACACGATAATCAAATTACAGTGTAGCTAATGGGATATCTTCAGTTATTTTTGTTTTTTAATACAGATTAGGGTTAAAAAAGGATAAGGTTCTGACAGAAGACTGAGTTCAATTCCAAATTTGGGAGATTGTGTCCCTCTAACATACATATCAATTATTTTTTACATTAATTATATTATTTATGAAATTTTATGAAAAATAGTATTAAAAGTCAAGATATTTCCTTCACTGCTGAAATTATTTCCTATGAATTCTAGTTGATTATTCAGCTATAGATGGAGGGGTTATAATCTGGGGCCATGAGTGGATAAAAGAATGTAGAGCTCTTCTTAGCTTAGAAAATAATTTCGAAGCACAGTCACCTGTATTTATGCAATAGAAAACCAGGTAAGCTTAGCAGGAATGCTTACACACAATTTCCGTCGCTCTGTGTCTAATGAGCACTGGATGAACCTAAAGATAATGTAGCCTCTTTCACAGTCATGCTGAAAGTTTTCCCAATGTCAAGGAGTTTGTACATCCAAGCCCATAGCCAGGGGTTGGGGGTTTCGGGGGGGGGGGTTAGAAAAAAACACCCTTTTTTGTCAGGAAAAGGTCCATTCTGGGAAAAATTTAATCTAGGTACGCATAGGTTTCTTTGTTAAAGAACCACTTTTCAGAAAAAGAGCCCCCCCCCCCCCCTTTTGAATGGGTCTGTCATCCGAGAATAATGAAATATCCATTCAAAGACTCCGTACTGTTATGGAGCTCTCCTATCCATTAGTGATGAAATATTTATTCAATTTCCTTATCAATAGTCAAAATATCAACATGAAAAATGGATGAATGTAAAAGTAAATCCATAACATCACTGATAATATTCGAAAAAAATACAAAATTGCACTGAATGATAAAAAACTTGTATGTACTTTTACAGGTGCACTATCTGGATCAAAAAGAGCCCATGGCATGCACTGATAAGGCCAAGAAGTATTTCCTCTGCTGTAATTTATGCAAAAGAAAAAACATGCATAAAAAAGTGGAGACAGAAGTTGTCTGAAAAACGAGGACATCTTACCTTTTCCTCTCGAATGAACACAAATATGTCCATCTCCTTCATGTTAAAAGTCTCCAAAGTCAAGACTCAAGCTCTCCAAGTTTCAACTTCCACAATAAAGGAATTAAATTTTTTAAAAGCAAAATCTCTGCCCACTCTATAATCCACAATACCCACTTTGCAATAAATGCTGAGACATGTACCTAACCCTTGGGCTGAGGTCACATACAAATTCCTTACATCAAAAGTCTCATCTTTTTTTTCTTTCTGCTCTGTACTTGAAACCTGCTGTTAGAACTTCTCAAGATATCAGTGTACAAGCTGTAGTCCCAGGTATTTTACAAACCAGTTTGTTTTTTGTCTGTCCCAGCAATTTCCTTCACTAAGGGTATCTTATGTCACATGTGTTTACTGTGGATATGACCTGTCACCCATGTCAGGTTTCGGAACTTTTCACTGACCCGCAATGCACTCAAGTAGCTTAACCTTGGGGACTGTTCCTGATGATATGGGAAATGTATCATTTATGTCATGAAAATATGCGTCTATCTATCCATCCACTTATTCTCCCTGCATCAACACAAATTGGCAAAGTTTGTAAAAAGTTCACAGAACAATTGCTGATATGTACTTCTGTTGTAATTTCACAATAATGGAGGAGCAGGTAAAACACAGAAATATGCTATTCCTTTTCTTTTGGATTAAGCTTTCTTTTACATTAAAATGCACCCTGTCAGCGACCTTAATTGCTACTGACTTGTATGCCCACTACTGACAGTTCTGTGGCTTGTTCTACAAGTTTTTCAATTATCATCAAGTCGTGGAGCACTAGCTGATCCTGTGGTGCCACATTTTCCTCCGACTGGTTTCAAGACATGAACTTGTGTGTGGTTACCCTAATACAGTCTAGAACGACTTCTTCCTGACAACCGGTTGTGTCACAGATATCTCTTACCACAGTACGGCCAGCTTAAGACCACAAATATCTCCCAAAATATGGTGGTGCTTCACAGGTGTTAGTGTCACCTGAACAAATAAACACCTGACACTGTTAGGCTTTGTTTGTGTCTCATGACAGAGCTTTTTACAACTAGATCAAAGTTCACTTTTTGTTATTTTTTTTTCTTTTGCTTGTGGGCAAAGTCACAGGCATTCCTGATCAATTGCCCCTGTCCAATTTACACTTTTCTATATTTAGCATCTGCTCCTTCAGGATATAAACAGTACAGATTATATTTGTCCACTCAATTAATGTTGACCTTTATCTAAATCCAATTATGACACACAGAGAATTGAGTTAATACAGTCCTGAACTTCCCATGTATAAACAATCTTCCTATTAGGCCTTACACCAATGTAAAAAAAACTCTCATTTGCAGAGATTCCTATTAAGTCAGTGGTGATATCAATTCGCGGGCAAGTTCTATCATATTTCTCCTTTTAAACTCACATTGCCCCAGGCCATATTTTATAACAATGTTGGGAGTTTTGGAATTTTTATAAATCCTCCGTAATCCTGTTTTACCGGTTTAACAACACAAGGTGTGCTGATGTTTCATATCTCCTTGTCCACATACCATGAGATACTCCACATATGTAAAAATGTCAACAAATGTTGTGTTGTTTAGTTAACACAGTAACCAGGGTTGAAAATTTCCAGAACTGTAACATCTGTCTACCTGTTGATTTAAACACCTGACCAATGAATTATTTCAGGAACTGTTAGCATTTTAAAAATCCGTTAAAAATAAAGGAAAAAAAAAATCATGCATGTGCTCAGAGATGACCGATGTTGAACCACCTGGATGACCAGCCTATTGGTCAAGACTGACCTCTGGGCAGTGTTGGAATGTCCAGCTATTCAAGATATGCTCATTACAGCTTGGCATAAATTCACACATGTCTTTTCCAAAGCACTGGTTCCGTATCACAGATCAGCTATTCAACAAATATTTTAACCATGTCCACTCTTCTCTGTGTGGTCAATGCTGACCACTGAATTCCCACCTGTGGTATGCTGAGATTGTACTAGATTCTACTATGTGTACTGTGCATTTATATATATACAGAGTGCCACCAGGTGCTTCCAAGAAATGTCACCAAACCATCTGTGCTGGGGACATTTTCTGTATGCTTTTATGCACAAATATGGCTTGAAGGGTCACACTCCTGAATTCCAGAATTTTGAGGAAATCTTGTGTTTCCTTAGGACCTACTGGTAACTGACTGCCACACAACTGGAAACTTAATTCAGTTCCCTTAATTCCTGGAGTTCAAGAAGCTTGCTTGGATAAATCCCTCTCTGAGGGTTTCTTTCCACGAAATTATTTTTCGTTGCAATTCTTCATTTCATCCTGAGAAATCCCCCTTGACCCAGTGAAATAATGATTTTCTTTTGATCAAAGTTCCACAGGGAACTTTCAGAGAAATTTTTCCTCCCAGTCCAGGATACTGAAGAAATAAATTACGATTAAATTCCCTTCTGATCAATTATCCATCTTGAGCTAGAGTCTCGTGTTAACTGGACAGCGGCTATTTTCCGCTGACCTTTTCTGCTCCATCTCTATCTCCTCATTAAATCTTCTTTTGATCAGTTTTTCAAAGAGCAATCAAGCCCTGCCCAACAAGCATGCCCAGAGCTGACCTCCATCCCCTGGGTTTAAATCATATTCATACCTCTTTTTAAGTTTCTCCCAATCAATTTTCATACAGACCTTTGGCCCTAATGGTCAAGTCTATCTAAAATTTCATCTGACCAGAGGCCACTCATTCTATTAATCACTTTACTCAGTACAATAAGGTCTCAGGACCAATTTCTTCAGTACATATTTCAACATTTTCAGTTATACATATTCTATATTACAACAACACAAATACGGGACCCCTGGAGAGCATTATCAACAGCATTGCTAGTATACAGCATACCTGATCCTACCTAATGCAACAGAGCCCCAGACATGGATGGATAATTCATAATCATTAAGGTGTGGTCTGTTCTTACCTATAGGTTAAGGTAATTAGTTCTGGTCTCACCTTTGACTAAGTACGATTAAACCCAGTTCAAAGCCCTATAATCCCCTGCACTACTATGTGTGTGCTTTGTTGCAGTGGCCAGAGGTTAATTGGATTGGAAAGTAATGAGCGTAATGATAATCCCAGGTTTCTGGACATCGAGAACAAGATAGAGAACTATCGTGGTTCGCTCAAATTTATCTGCATTTGGAACTTTCTAGTTACAAAATGTTTATAAGTCAGCATTTTCATTTTGAATTTTCTTCATTGAAAAGTCCTTTTTTAATTGAAAAAATCTATTACATACAAGGTGAATGTCAAGGTGAAATATAATATCAATAACTCATTATGGTAAGGATTCTTGAAAATAAGTTTGTATTGAAAAAATATTCCATATTCTGTGAGACTTGAAAAATGCGCCTTTTTCTTCAAGTTCTTGGAACAATGAACAACAAAAGCCACACCCACTTCATTTGATTTGCTTTAACCATTTATTATACATCAATAATTCACTTTTCTGCCCATTAACCTCTACATAAAAATATTTTGCCTAATAATTACTTCAGTCATTTCTGTCCCTGTCATTATCTGTAATCATGAACAACAGCTTGTCAACAGCTGAGATGGACAAACATGTGTCAAGTTAAAATTCAACCCACACATTTTTCAAATAAAACATCTCCGAGTAAATCCTTAAAAAAAAAAAAAAATTTGAAATATGCCCCTGTGGAGTGTGATACTCCTACCACCTTAGTTTTTTTTATTTCATCAGCAGTCAAAAAGAAGAACAGGAAAATGGAAGAGGAGAAGGAGAGGAAAAAGCAGGAGAAAAAAAAAAAGAAAAAAAATCTATTCCTGTAGAGTCAGCTCCACCTACCTCTCTTGCCTTGTATTTCCCCAGCAGTTGGTTCTGTTCCTGCAGTAGCTGCTGCTGGACCACCTCTCTCTCTTCCTCGTACCTCGTCTCTACCTGAGAATACATCAACTCCTCATTACCAACACATCTCGCTAAGAAACCACCAGCCGAGGCTGACATAACTTATTTCATAACACCACCGAGGAAACCTTATTTCGACACTATACTAATACTTCTGATATAATGTGTTTCGAATGTACTTGATAATACCATGCTTTATTTTGATATAATATTAACATAAATGTATTGGGAGTAAATCTCTCACAATATCGCGCTTTGATGCGCTATATATAATTCTGCAGCACAGAGAGTGTGCTAATGCCAGCAATTACTTTATTTTACATCTCAAATTATACTTCACTTTGTTTTGCCATATATTTGTATGTAATCAGATGACCTAGTAGCACCCTAGCTGAAACTGATGTGACATTAAAGCTATCAGAAGTCTCTTCAATAGCAGCACACTTGAACTTTATGTAATACTGATGCCCCTAATAACACAGTACTGTACAGGGGCGGATTTAGGCCGTCTTCTGGGTCTTCCGGAAGACAGTCAGATTTTCAAGTTTACATTGAAGGGTATCTAATTTTTTCTGTCGGAAGACGGTCAAAAATGGAAAATGGGTAACCAAACATAATATGGAAGACTGTCAGGAAATATTTCTGGATCCGCCCCTGCTGTACTTGAATAATCCTAATGCAATAATCCTAATGCAACCAAAGCCCTTGATAATATCATATATAAATGAAGTGTAGAATGCTCAGGTCTTTGGATTTCCTTTATGATATGTCTGATTAGAACTAGACTGAATATTGATGTCTCATCAGGATCCATTTTTGCTACATTGAGTGTCACATAAATGGAACGATATATATTTGTGGAAGTTTATAGTAACAAAACTGTGTGGATTAGTCATGAGCTCATATCTTATAATTTTTGTATCTATTATTTTGAAATAATGCAAAGGAAGTCCAGTAACAGATTAAAAATCTTTATTCATATAAAGCAACAGCATTCTGTAAGACTATACCATGAAAATGTTATTCTAACTTATTTTCTCCACAAAAGGAAATTGTGGAAATAAAACTAAAATCATGTTATAACTTTCTTAAAATTTATTCAAATCAGGAGTTTTGTCAGAGGAAAAATTAGATATCTTTGTATCGTGTATACATTAAATTAAGCCACTTACCTCCAGTTGCTGAAATTCTAAATCATCGAAGATTTTACGCTGGTTTTCTATTGCATCCTGATACTTTTGAAGCTCATCCAGTAGCAGAGGTTCTTCCTCCCGCGAACAGCATTCAAGTTGTTGCTCTACCTCATAGTGCTTATGTTCTAGCTCGCGCAGCTTGTGACGCTCGGCGTCCATCTTTTCTTGTTCCTGGAAAATAACAGGTAGGTGGCTACTGTGGCCTGTCATGATGGAAAAATTTGAGATGATCAACCAGTCATTGCATCCCATCCAAATCTCATGCTCGTTAGTAAAGTACTGCCTCTATGTTATACCTCAGATGTTTATCACACAAATAACTTGCTTAGTGCCAACAAAAACACTGCTGTATTATAACATGTTTATTCCTGAGGTAGTAGTAATCAAATCTTGGGAATTTTTCCTGATATACAGATCCATCTTTGGATGGCTAGAAGACACACTGCCCCCAACTAATGCACTGTGCAAAGCCTCACAATGGCATGTTCACACCTGAACTGATTTGAACCGATGATAAGAATCCAACTCAAGTCACAAGATTACCACCAAGGCTGGTATAACAAAGCATTTGTTACTTGGTGACTTCTTGGTATGAAATTCTGTAGAATTTTTCTCCATATTAGTAAACGGGAAATGTAGCTAACTACAGCAAATAGTTAGTCTCTACAGTGGACACTGGTCCAAAATGCTGCCCACGGGGTTTGAAATTCAAAGGCACAATGTGGGGACTCTGTAACCTGGTCAAAGTAGTTCTCAGTGTGAACACATCTTCAAGAAGAAACTGGTGGTTGTGCAAACAACAAGTGCAGTGCAGAAAGTAATACAAGTGACTGAAGGGTATGATCAAATTATATGGCCTTTTATATTTTTTAAAAGAAAGGGCATTCTGGCAATGACCGAAATACAAGCCATTCAATCTAGTTTTTAATTTAGTGGTAAATTTTCAGAAATGTGAAACTTGGAGCAAAAGTTGTGAAAATTTGTGAAAGTCATTAAAATATCTAATTTTCCTTGCCAGAGTAAAACCATCATTTAAATTTTAAAATGCTAGCTTAAGCCTATACAATAAATGGGGCGGAGATTGGAGGCACATTTACAAGTACGACATGACTGCTTGACTCAGCATTGTATCATTTCTAATCATGCCCACCCTAAACAAACATTTTTGTATTATATCTATTTTCTATTCAATGTTTTCTTACGGAGTGCAAATAATGTGGAAGTGAACTGCCTCCTTTTCTTCTTTTAATGTATTGAATAAACATTGTTTAAAAAAATCACCACCCTGAGCAAATTTAAATTTGATGTCAATGATGTGTGGGGCAGTAGAGGGATTGGTCTGGCTTTACGTGGTTAGAAATCCACCGATAGTAGGAAAAATCTCATCTCTGTGTATCATTCCAAAGGTGAGAAATACCTAGTGCTGAGTTGCAACAATAACAACTAACAGATAAGAAACACTGCCACAGTTAACTACACAATCAAATTTTACACAAATTGTTACTGCCACACTGGAATGGAAATACAGAAACAAGTTACAAAAGTGTTGACGATGCAAAAAGCCATACAATGAAACACACAACAACTTTGTTGGGTTTTGTAAACATTGCCAGCAAAAAACACCTGGTGACATGTAAGCTTAAGCCTGTGCGACTGTGCTTTAAGTACTCAATCTACAGAAGTGTTTACATCAGGTCTAACAAGTACCAAGTATCTAAAAATAGTCTAAGCCATGTCAAAAGATGACAAGCTTGCATAATCACTTGAAATTATAGCATGTTTAATATTTTCATAGAAAAAAAAACAAAAACAAAAAACAAGATAATCAAAACTGATAAGAAAATTATGATCTATTAACCTTTTTTAAGTTCTAAGCTCCTAGTTATACCATGATGCGTCAAACTCACTATACTAATCTCCATCTCCAAAAATAGGAAACTTGGAACTCATAATCAGGTTTACAGATCATAAACTTTGTCAACAGTTTTGGGCGTGGTATACCCTGATGATCACAAGAAGATAATTTACAATATAAAATATTAAATCAATCCTGGTATAAACACATCTGCAGGGGTTTGCCGTCAGTGCAACACTAGAATTCTTTGCTACCAAAGCCACAATCTGTGTGCTGGAACAGGTTTGACTTGCCAATTGCATTGACCAGGGATAAAACTGCCATTTTATAAAAAAGTTTAAAAAAATTTAGTGTGGGGTCCAGGGGGTTGCCTAGCCCAATAATAATTTAGCGCCCAAAAAGTCAGAAATTTGATGATAGTTGGAAAAATCACATCCCTGAATAATACCGTGGCTTTACCAAGCCGATTTATGTTTGGCTGGATTCAAGGCAAGACCACCAGACTTCAACAAATATTTTGACCAATTCAAGAAATTTAATAGGTGTAAAAGGCAGTAAAGTTGCTTGTGTTATATGACAACCTGTTGAACTGGTATAAGTTAGACTATTTCCCATTGCATCTGATCTTGGTAGAAATGTGTTCCCAGACAGCAGGTGGTTGGAGCCTGTTGAAAAATCACATCACCCAAAGACCAAGGATTAGCAATTCAATGTACATTAACAGAACAGAACCATTAGGTGCCAGTTAAGCATGCAGACACACTCTCCATCCATGTCACACCTACCAGCTGTGTTGTGAACCGCACTTTTCTTTTCTTTCAGAGAGCAACCAAAAGAAAGAAAAGTTAAGTAACAAACAAACTCTCTGGTAATGGTCAGTTCTAATGAAGGTCTGGGTATCATCTTGGAATGCATGGTAGTTTGGATATGTTAAAATTAATGAGTTGAAATTATGTTTTTTTTTTTTTTTTGTCAGATGTTTAATCTAGAAGTTGCCGGGATCATTGCCTCAAGAAAATACCCAGATTCTGGTGTGAAATAATTCAAGACAAACAAATTAGTTGACTGTTCTCCACAGATGTGATTGATTTTTTAAACTTTTTATTCTGATTGATTAAAAGATGTTATCCTTAATTTTTTTTTTTTTTTTTGGAAAAAAATCTGACAAATGTCAAATCTTAAAAATAAGATTTATATGGTATAACATCAAAAATAAATATCAACCTGATAATGACCAAAAATATTAACACACAAAGAATGTCTCCAACATGTGGAAAACATGCAGCCATCTTGAAGCTTTAGACTATTACTCAAGTTAGTATAAAAGCTAAAAATATATGTTCAAAAGTGACCATTATCTACTTGTCTAAAACTAAAGTGAGTATCTTTCTACTATAATTCTACTGATTCTTCTGTTTATGTGCCTTACTAGTATTCTACTTAGTCTGCTGAATGCAATATATAACAAACAAGAGTTGGCGATCCCCGTCTATTCTTACCCGCTCTTTCTCAGCAGTGGCGCGCTCTATGAGCTCCAATTGTTTCTGCTTGAGACTGTTAATGCGATCCTGCTCTCGCTGAAGTTGCACCATCTCCGTCTGATGTTCTCCTTCCAGCAGTGCCCGCTCCATCTCAAGCTAAACGAGACATCAGATAGATTTAGGATCAGATCTTTACCCTTGCCAATTTCGTTTTTTGTTAAAATAACAAAATCATAGGCCATTTAAGGAAGAACCTTTGGCCTGCTGGTTTAGTAATTTTCTGATCAGAACATCTTGATGACCAGTAAAAAGAAATGAAACTGATTAAGATTTTGATTGTATCATTGTATCATTCAAAAAATATTGCTTATCTTAATTCATAATAATACAAGCATATCTGAATGACAGGCGTATTGGGTTCACCTCTCTTATGGCTTCATTCTGTTGCCCCTCAATGTCCACTATCTTCTGCTTGAGATCTGTGATGGTATTCACAGCGTCCACACGCATCTTCTTCAACTTCTCCAGCTGGATTCTTCTGTCATTTTCCTGGAGTCAAACAAATGTAATCTTGTTACTATTTAATTCAAGAATTTCACTTTCTCAACAATTTATAAACATTTGGATAGCTTTTTCCCAGTCACATTATCTAACTGCAGGAGACTCAGATGACCAAGCTTTGAAACAGGGGAAGGAGTTCCAAGATAAGTGTACATTCAAGTAAGGCCAGGTTCATTAAGCTTCAACTAAATTAATACAAAAGATCAATTTACCTTCACACTAAGACTAAAATTTTGGCCTTCAAATGTACACCAATTATTGACATAAAGTGCTTTAAATTTCAATATTGTGAAAAAGGCCAACACTTCTGCCTCATATTCCAATAGTTTCACTAGACTAGTCCCAGTTCAAGTTTTTACCTCTGATGTAGCTAAACTGTGGTCACTAGAGGTCTCCACTCCACTGGAGGACTTCACTCCTATGCTCTGATCACTGGCTGGAGAAGCCTGCTCTGTCACTGGAAGTCACAGCAAAGATATTTAACAAATAGTGGATGGTAAGATCAGACAAATATAAGTAGCTATAGACAAAAGAATCTTCAAAAGTCCAAAGATATTTAAATTTCGTATTTCAAATTATTGCAGTATTTCTTTATTCCTAAAAAAGTTTTATTTGTTACAGGAATTCCGGGCAATGTGATGCCTTTTTTCTCAATAGTATTAGTGCCACTAAATTTTTGTCTGATGTTATTAAGCTTACAAAAGAGTCAAGCCAAAATGCTGCCACGACACAACAGAACATTACATGATCCTTCACTTTAAACTCCATAAACAAGATCTTTATTGAAGAATTGACTTACATATAACTGCATAAATCCAGTTGTTTTTAAAGTAAACAAAAAATTTAAAATCCATTTTTTTAAACAAGGCAGCAAAGCTGTCAAATGTACAGACAAAAAGCAGGAAATAACAAAACAGGCTACCGTCAATTCTGATGCAAAAGTACATTATGCTTAACTGCAAATTCAACATCAAATTTTAATTATGCTCAACAGGTATTACCAATGTAAGTGAAATGTGTAACAAGCGTAAGGCTTCAGGCCCATGGGAGTTTAAGTTCACATTTTGAAAATGCCAGAATGAGAAAAATGAAAATTTCACATAAAACTGCTTAAATTCAATAATAAATGATAACCCATTTGAGCTGGCTTCCTTATTTGAACTGCATGCCAATCCTACAAATCATATTTGTAAGTTGAAAATAATAATAAGTAACACAGTTTTCTTTTCATAATGTTTGTAGTAGCAGTGCAAAAAGATTTTTGTCAATTTTGATGTAACATTACATAATAAATTACAGAATAATTATCACCAATTTTTGATTATTGACTATAAATAGCATGGACATGTAGAAAATTTGATTACCATTTGGCTTCATGTCCATGGGAGCTTCGAGTCCCACAATGAATATGCCAACATGATAAAAATGAATATTTCACTAAAATGTATAACTTCCAGAAAAAGAAGCCAATTAGACTGCTTTTC